CTAAGCCATGCTTGCTCGATGGGCGCATTACTCATTAATCATCGTTAAGGAGATGCATGGGAAAATGCGCATCTATGATTTGATCCCACATTTTGTGCAAGCGAACATGGTCTTTGCGACACATTGATCTCGATCAATTCTTACCTATGAACAAAAGTTGCCTAGAATTAAAGCTGAATAGTATTCATGAATATCGGGGGAGGCATGGTCTAGGCCATCATGTGACAAAAACACGTCCAGTAGAGGCATTACTCCAACCTTTGCTGACCTGTCCAGCAACGGCCAAATAATTTTCGCTGTGAACGCGGGCCAACCGGGATGTTATGGGATATTTTCCAATGTTTTGAATTCGGAATAATTACGGAATTACTTATTTCTTCAGCCATTATATCTCTGTGCCTTATATTTCTATCCTATAAGATTAATTCGTAACATGTAAATTCTATCATTTATCGTCCATATATTTTATTTTATTTTATCAATTTTTCTATTGCTTATACTATTGTCATTCTGTACTTCAATAATTACATATGTATTCCTGTACTCCAATTGTAAACAATAGCCGAATAAATAAAATAAATAAATCACCGGCTGTGAATAATTCAACATTGATATATGTAGGAGCCCGTCTTCTATACACTTGAAAACTCACGCACGCATACTCGGTTACAAGGCAAATCTTTTTTAGAGGTGCACGGACTGCCTTTGGAACTATGAATTTCCAACAATAAAAGTTTTGCCGTGATCTTTTCTTTCGCTACCGAAACTGGAGATTTGATGACGTACCCTCTATTTCGTAAAACGAGAATAGCGTCGAGTGCAGATCACACACCACAAAAGGCGACGGCCAAGAAAAAAGTGGCCTGGCCGTCGTAACTTTTGGCGTGTGGTCTGCACGCGACGCTCTTCTCGTTTCCCGGAATAGACGGTATGTCAAGTGATGCGAGTCAAAATCCAATGCGTACTTCTTAGAGTGGAGCGATGAGAGTCCAACTTTTTGGAACTAACCTAAGTCAAAAGCTTTCAAGCAGTATCAGAAGCGGGAGTGTAGTGGCAGCCGACGCGGCCTCTTGCGTATACGGTTTGAAAATCAAGTCCTGACTCGAATTTCGCCTAAGGTATCCAAAGATTCATCCCTACGAGTCACTTAGTCCATGGTTTTTTCGGATGTTGGAGCACTGGTTTGTAAATCAGTTGTCTCTGGGATAAGTGGCATTTATGCCATGCCAACAAGCAAATTTCGAAGGGGAGTCGAATATGTGGCGCACCTCACAAAGGGATTGGTCAGAACTGTTATATCCTTTTTATACCTAATCTAGCGCAATATTGTCTTGATTGTTCCACGATGAATCAAGAAACTGAGGAATATTACGAAGCTGTGACGGCTAACTCAATCATTTCACCCTGAAGTGCGCTTATCTTCTCCGGCTGCGATATGATTCAGACTTGCACGGATAATGTCAGACTTTGCGAATTGAGCGAATCGCTGTACGCGACGCGACCGCACGCTAGCGAGTGGTCAGAAGTGGATCGCTCGATTCGCAATGTATGACATCGGCCTACCGACTAATGCACTAATGTTGTTGTGATAAATTTGATGTAATTCACAGAGAGCGTTTCAGTGAAACGGTCACGGAATGCAGGACCCCACTGAATTGTAAGAAATTGCACTTACTTGCCTGGCGATAGGATTACGTCGGTCAATGCTCCAGTTTCCTGCGCTTTAGATTGCGCCACACTTTCTTGGATTTTTTTTCCTTTTATCAATGTTTTATGAGTAGAAGCCACTTTTCGATCCATCCTCCAAATGGTGCATGCCGTACTATTTTTACCAATGTTCAAATACAGATAGTTTATGGAATAAAGTGCCCTTCTTCTTATAGTTGGCGTTAGAACTTTCGGATAGAAATGTTACGAAAGGCCATAATAAATGTATCGCAAAATACCACGTTTTGTCCAATGCTCAGCATCCTGTAGGACATTTGAATCACCAACAGCCACGGGAAACAGCAGCTACCAGGAAAAAAGGTAGAAATTTCAGAAACGGGATTCCATAAGTCATTATGGATAGTCTAGCAAGGCCGCGAATAAAGTTCTCGCAGTCTTTGGTGATCCATTTTTGGATGGTTCATTTATTTTATTGACTTCAGTCAAGCTGCCACCGTGCTATGTAGTGCCGTTTTGGAGAGCTTTTCTTGCTGGAAACTTTTTTTATTCTTAAATGCGGCACGCTCTGAATAACTTCCTTGTCCACCTCAAAAGAGGCCTGTAAGGAGCGAAAGCAGGTCAGGATATTTGAGGCGTTCCTGGCTGGGAATCGCAATAAATACATTTGAAGCATTTGTTCAAAAAATTTTTAGAACCACAACTAGAGCCTTGAAGATGACCAAGGTAGAGGGTGGATTCTGGACAATTGCAACGACTAGCCGAAAGCTTTGATTGAAGCACGCGTGAACAGAGCCGTCGAGAAGGTTCTGAACGGCGTATTTTGTTTCGTTGCTTCCTGTTTTACGGCGAGGGTTGTAAAAAAAATGCCTCGGCAACAAAATACCGTTTTGAAGAGCCGTCGCCCACTTTTTTAGTATGTTATGCGATGGCAACGACCTCCTTTTCTAGTGGACTGTGACATGCGATATGGAACGAAATGTTTGCTAGAGGTTACGAAGCTTTGCTCAGGGGATCTGCCGCGCTCAGGCTCCAATCTTCGGAGCTGAAGCTGTGCCGAAGGAAGGTCATGGTGACTTCTGTAAGGTCAACGGTTTGCTAGCTCTCCAAAAGTAGGTGAAACTCTCACAGTGGCAAAGTACTCTTGACAATATGTAAAAATATTCTTGGAGCTCTAGCACATCTGCACGGTATTCGAAATTATAAAGGAAGCGACTGATCACTGACAGGTGGTTCGGACCCAAAACCAAAACGCATAGGACGAGTTAGCTGGACCACGGATAATTGCTGCGACCATCATTGATAGACCTTTTACTTATTCCTGTGCTCAAATTGTAAACAATAGCCGAATAAACATAAACATATAAAATGTCACTTTTTCGATGACCTGGATAGCTTCCTCAAAGAGTTATGCTTCGCACAACATAGTGCTTAAACGACGTTTGACGTTCATCGTCTCCAGAGCTTCAGAATTTTATTTTATTTTGTAGTACTGATGAGTTATACCGACGCGCCTCTTATTCGCGATGATTTCGTCTTTATTCCGCGATTTTTTCATATGGGTCGAAATATATGCATTTAAAGAAAAGGATCGAAAACCGCATGAACTTTCTCCAGCTAATACGATGCCATTTCGAAGCTCGCCCTTCCAAGATGGCTGAGTGAACCGTTCGTCTTTTGCTCGATTTGTGAGCTGGAAGCTCCAGTAATTTCTATGGCGGTGATCTTTCTACCGGTTTAGCAAAGGAATGCAGAACACCAAATAATTTAGTCTTTTGGCTGCATGGAAATCGTTGAGGTAGTTAATCTTATGAAAAATCTTGTAGATATCTGCGCAGTTCTGAGCAGGAATCGGATGTGTGGCGCATCCTAGAAGTTATTCTTTGACTGTAGGCTTTTAAATTTCATCCTTTTTCTTGTATTGCTCACATAATCCATCTAACTGCCTAGGAAAGTGATGACAGAACCTTTTCCATGATCTGTGTTGATGCTAAGGCACTCCTCTCGTTCTTTTCTCCACATATGTTTTATTTATAATTTAACATTATTATTTATTTTATTTATAACTACTTTTTATTTCGGTTGCTTTTGCATAGATCTGAGTTGCATTATGCACATGAGCCTCACGGGACATCTCAGGCAAGATACCTTAACGGAATTTTCTTTTCCGTTTTGGAGACAACTGCAAAGCATATTCTCTACCATGTCGTTGCTAGACGCAACCGGATTCTCACGAGGATTTCCGACACTCCTCATTAACGAAGCCTGGCGATACTTCACACCAAGCTTCCCGTAGTAATCCTGGTAGGCGGTACCTATTCCCCGCCCTATTCTGTAAAAATAAGTCGTCTACTTCTTCGAAATCTGTAGCATTTTTACATTAACCAGCAACACTGACCATGAAACGACTTGGCAATCATCCAAAAGATCGTGATCGGGGTAATTTTAGTAACCAAATTAACTATAATTTCACTAGAACATTAGCAAAAAATTGCTTTTGATACGTTGGTCCTCGCAACAATTGAGTCTAGCATTGCACTTGCACAACAAAAACTCGCTGTGAAGGCATGGTGCGGACTTTCGACAGGGTCGGTCCTATCGTTGTACTTTTCGAAAAATTTTTACGACCCCCCTCCCCCAAGGTGGATTTGGTACGACCCCCTTTTCGACCCTCGACCACCATATTCCTCTCTATAGTATTTAATTCTGGTATCACTCAACCCACCAAAACTCCGCCCACTTTTTCCTCCAAAAATGCCGTCGAGCGGGGGGTATATAGTCACTCTGAAACCGTAAAAATTTACCTAAATTCCCTAAATTTCCACCAATTTACCCCCTCCTACCTTTAATCCCACGCTTCATTTTCTAGGGAGGGTATATACGCGCAAACGGCAAATTTTCTCCCGCGCCACTCCTCCCTCACCTCATGCAACTTCTTACAATCGAAGCAAGTACGACCCCCCCTCTACAACCTCATCAAAATATACGACCCCCCCCTCTACAAACTCATCAAAATGTACGACCCCCCTCTAAAAACTCATCAAAGTACGACCCCCCGTTGCTACTTGTAGCAACGTAGGACCGACCCTGCTTTCGCAGTGTTTGAGGACGGTCCAGATTCAACGGTATTATGTACATGATTGATCTCTGGAGGGGGACCTGTTAAAGAACTCACTCACGTTTACAAAGAGAGGCCGTTAAATCTCAATTTTTTCTCAGCGTGATTCCGAACGTGATACATAGCTGATCATCGGTGCGCGTGAAGCATTACTGTTGCGCTTCTTCCAAACAACCTACATAGTTACAGGAGAAATGCAAAGAAATCATTGGCGACTATGACTACGTCAGTTGGTTTGGCTACAATTGGCGCTGACCAACTACTGAACGGTGTCGCATCGCGTTTGATATTTGGTGAGTTTTCTTATAATTGTTTCTCTTCTACGGTCTACGGCTCACTCCATTTCGGAGAAAATCCACTTTTGCTGAGTGCGTGGGAATGTGCGCATCCTGAATATTCAGCTTTCTTTTCAAAAGTTCCTGGGATTTATTCGCCATAGTCCAAGGAACTCGCAACGGGGCATTGATAAATGTAAGGGTGAACAACGAGTTAAACGATTCATTGTCATCATACTGGGACTGAGAACAACCTCATTTGTAAGACTTATGTAGGATTTAGTGCTCCGTGGCGTGTTTGCATTCTTGGAAACCCATGTTGTGCTCGCTATAGATCACTGCTAGGCTGAGGGATTTCCAGGATTGCAGAAGGATTTCTACCAAATTTCGCTAGACCATTTATTTCGTCTAATCCAAAAGCACTTTCTGAAACTGTGTTGTAGAAGCACAACATAAACGGTTTTTGCTTGAAATTGAAATGAAAGGATGTAGGCCAGCAAATTTGCAGCTCTTGTTTTTTTTTGCGGAACATGATGTATCTGATCAGGCGATAATTTAATTACTATGAAAAATGAGGAGATCATAGCACGTCTTTCCCACACGGTATTTCTATGAAAGGATACTGTACTCTCAATCTGTCGAACGTGAATTCGGCAGCGAGAGGAAACCGGAAGCTTTAAAAATTAAATCTTCGAGCTCCAAGCTATACAGAGGGGAAATGGAAATCGCAGGGCAAATATTTCATTTTTCTTCATGTTCAAGGCGTCGTGGTCCCACAAGCTATTGGGTTTATGCGTCATTATTGCGGATTTCTTTGCGCCTTCTTTTTTTCGAAAGATTGGCGTTTTGTTTATTATTTTTTCATGAAATATTCTTCTCTCTTTCATTAACAGAAATGCTTATCGAAAATCATCTTCATATTCGCCACATATGCTCTACCACTTCGAGAAAGGTTGGAAGGCGGCAGGGTCATTTCGCGATCTCAACGATCTTTTCGGCGAGGGAACAATCGGCAAAAGCCAAGTTGAAAGATGGTTCAAGAGGTTCAAAACGCCATATTTACCGTCCGAAGCTTTAGTCCGAAGCTTCTAAGTCCGAAGCAGACTACCACTTCAATCAGTCGTTGAAAAACTGGCAAACGAACAAAATTTACGACGAGCTGGATGACTTGGTGGCCGATGTTAGAGCGTGGATCGTCTCCAAGAATCGTGACTTCTTCACCCGTGGACTGACCAAGCAAATGGGAAGCATTCTTGAAGGATGGTGACTACGCTCCGGGGTAATTATTTAAACATGTTTTTGTTGAAATATTTTTTCGTTTTCGCTGAATAAAATTGTTGAAAAAATCCGCAATAATTATGCATCAACCCAATAGCTAAAAATCATTGCGGTGACCTCTTCAGGCATAGACAGGCAACGAATTTGTGGAGCGACTAGGACCGCCATAAAACATACCGGACGGCAAAACAATCTTCCCTTTCTAACCGCTACCTCAAGGCAATTTTTTGAAAGCAATAGACGATAAAAAAGTCGGAAAAAATTAGGTGTTGATCATCTCCATCGACTCAATAGCGAAAAGAATGGGCCTTCATCAAAGTGGTGGCCGCCAATACAAAACCTATTCGCGATTTTGGAAGTTTTTATCATTGTTCTATGTAATTCGTTCCAAATTTTGCGATTAAAAAATAAGGTTTGGATGTTTTTTATAGCTCGTGATTCCTCGCCCTCCTGTAAATGTGTGTAAATTGTGGGGTAATTCTCTTCTATTAACAAACATGCTGATGAGCTTTTTACCTGCAAACATGATCATTCTATAGTTCCATTAAAAGGTTAACTTCGATTCGCTGCCTGGTTTTTTTCTATTTTAGATTACAGGTGTAGAAGACTTTGTTACCGACCTTACGGTACTTTATTCTACCTTAGTCCTTGATGGCCTAACAGTTACAACCCTACATGAGAAAATTGGGGGTGAGTCTTGAAATCGGAGGAAAAATAAGCAAATCACGTGAGAAAACAAAACATTGTAAGCAGAGCCAAGATAATTCGTTGAAGTGAATGATTATTTGAATGATTCAAATCGTTGGATCACACACAACGCCCCAAAGGTCGTTTTCAAGAGTAAAACCCAGCTTTTTGTGAAGAAGGAGCTCTTAACAATCAAGAATTTCCCTATGGCTCGCTTTTCTACTTCATGTGGCTAACCAGAGAACGTAACAGAAAAAATGTTCAGAAGGACCACCATGTGAATCATGGCCATGCTGGAATGAAGGCGAGTGTATACCAAATGGAACTCGTGGCTACTCATGCGTCTGCCCAGCACACTTCGCCGGAAGACACTGCCAGTTTCGGGTACGTTCTGCTTCTTTTATGACGAAGCTAAAAAGTACGGGTACGTAAGGCATTGCGGGTTAGGGACGCATCTAATCCCCTCGCCACACGTAATAGTGCGCAGTCTGTAAGTGATGTAATGCCACATTTCGTATATACCAACCCTACCATATCAAATGAGAGTTCCGTTCCTCCTAGATTGACCATCTTGCACCCGGCCCGACCTGTCTGTTAGAACACTAACATGAACATAACTTAAGTTGCTTGTAACCACTACACAACCCAAATTAAAAACAGCTGGGCGCTGAAATGACTGCACGGCGTAGTCTGGGAACAACTACCCTAACTTCCAATAGATAAGCCCGCGCCGATATCACGTAAAAACACCGCTGGTGCAGTGCACTTGCGTACATCTAGAGACAACCGTAACTTGCCCATAGGGTAATTCGATATGCTGATTACGAAAACGACATTCATTTTTAGCGGTGGCGCCATCTGGCGCCAGTTGGCGTCACCTTGTCACGACCCTTGTTTTCACCAAATCGGTGTAAACTTCTGTAAGGGGTTATTTGGTGCCTCCATGTTCGACTATCCATAAATCTTGGCATTTTGTACACTGGTAGGGTTGCTTCTGTAGCCGACACCAAGATGATAAAATCACTTTATTGGCTAACGTTTCGGCCGTGTCGCGTTAGCCAGTAAAGTGATTTTATCATCTTGGTATCGGCTACAGAAGCAACCCTACCAGTTATTTGGTGCCCTTATTACGAACGTGACATTCGTTTTTGGCATTAACGTTGTTCAACGCATATTTCTCGGTTGGAGAGCGCAGACGAGCAGAAAATAGGCGCCAAATAGCGCCAGCGCCGAGAATGAATGTCATATTCGTAATCAGGACACCAAATAACCCCTATACGAAGTTTACACCAAATTTGGTGAAAACAGGTCGTGACAAGGTGACGCCAACTGGCGCCAGATGGCGCCACCGCTAAAAATGAAAGTCATTTTCGTAATCAGGGCATCGAATTACCTCTATAGGCAAATTTACGGTAGTTTCTAAGGTGTACAAAATTACACTGCACGAGCGGAGGTGTTTTTACGTGAAATCGGCACGGTTCATCTACCGAAAATTAGGGTAATTAGCGTTGAACACTTAGCGCATCATCTTATATTTTTCGTCTGTTTTTTCTACCTCTCTCGTCCATTGCTCTTTTTTTCTTCTGGGTCCCCTCCGATAGACATTACAATCAGTGCTTTACGTCAACATTGAGCCAGAAAGTGAGAACTTACAAATGGTACTGCACATTATGGTGTAGCTCACTTCTAGACACCTCCAAAAGTAGTGCGCATCTTCTGCAATGCAACGAAGCTCGCAAAAACTCCTTAGGTACGGACACCACTATTTCCCTCGGGGTATCCTTCCTACTAGTCAGGCTATTCCGGGCTTGCCTTTAAAGGAGGAATTCACGATTAGAATGAAGGTCGAAGAAAGGGAAACTGACCTAGTTGAGGGACCCACGGACCTCCTGAGGGTGCGAACTGACGCGCAATTCGCATGGAAAAATTTGACCTCGGCGACCTATCATGCCTCAAAGCTGGCGGGTCCGGCGATCTCCGCCCACCGATCATCTGATCACTCGCCGTAGTTCAATACGTGGCGAGTGATTAGATAGCTGAGAGAGCGTAGTGTTGAAGAGGGCACAGCGATGAGAGTCGCATCAATGCTCAAATCAACGGGCAAGGAAGGGGTCCATTTCTCGGGTTCTGGGCCGTTTCTCATGGTTCTTCCTTCTTTCGTGTACCACTCACCATCCCTAGGTTAATTTGAAATGGGTTGCTTTTTTCGTCCTTTAAGCTCAGCTAGTGTGGCTCATTCCCCAACGGAGAAAAAAATTAGTAGTTGTTTGGTTGAAATTGTAACGCTAAGCACCATTTTTCGTACAGATATCCCAACTATGCGGATCATCGCGATGTCAGGCCAATAGCACTTGCACAGTCGATGGCACCGAAATTTACTGTCCAGCCACAAAGTACGATGGTGAGTGTGGTTGTATTGCAGATACCATCGGCTTGATTCTCTCCTTCTAATGACATGAACAGTAACAAGACAGCTATAATACAAAGCACCACCAAAACTGTTTGTCATCAGTAGTACACAAACTCGTTACAAAAGTCAGAGACCCTAAAGTTCAGAGCTACTTTCTAGTAACTGTCAGGAAATCCAAACAGAAACTTTGAGTTTGAAGACTAAGTATAAGTGAAGATTGTAGCGTCTTTCAGTTTACTCAATCCACTAAGCAAGTTCTGTGCGGGAAACAAAAATCGCTGACCTTGCCCACCTACTCATCTGCTACAATGCAAGTAATAAAATAAAAACGGCCTTTCCTTATGACAGGAAAAATCTGACAGTTTCAGGAAGTGTATGCACCGCTCTAATCAGTAGCCGAAAGGGGGCCAGCTGGGACGTTTGCGCTGTGAAAGTTGCGCTGAATAGATGGGTTGCCAAAAAAGAGACACTTTCCCCATGACGCACATCATCAAACGTTTCTTCGCACAGGGTGCCGCTGTTGATGAAAGTTTTACGGCAAAATATCCTTATCTGCCTCCCATGAGTAGAAGCAGGCCCTTTTCCACTGCCCTCACCGTCCTCAAAATATGACGTCATCTTCCATCACCGTTGAGCTCAAGAAGGCCTACCGTAATCGTTCCAGCCTGAAGCTGCTACGGAATTTTTTCGGTAGATTCACTGGCAGATTGCTTCATAGTGAGAGTAGGTTCAAGTGTACAAGATCCCTTTCGACCAGCATAACGTCGCAACGGATGATCCTTCGAGGAACAGTTGATCTCGAACCGTGCACAAGTCCATGGCAAATTCTTCTTATGCCCTTGGTGCAGAAAGCTATTAATGTTTATTGAGAAATTAGAATGTGCTCTTGAAAACATTGCGGACTGATTTTTTATATTTTTCAAAAATGTATCATCATTAATCTATCAACAATTTTATCAGTGATGACACGTATGGTTTCCCGGCTCTGGAAATGACTGCAAACAGTTCAAGAGCATTGAAAAGGTTCAAATAAATCAGATAAACTAGGGTATTTCGTGCAAAATCGTGCGCCACATGGTGCGCAATGTCTTAACATTAACCTGTGGGAAGTTGCTTTGAGTTAAAGGCAAAGTTCGGGCTCAGACCCACTTAATAAGCCCTTATAGTGGCTAGAAGTGCGTGGGACGCAACTGCAGAAGGCGCGCCACGTTCCTGCATCGAAACGCGTCACTAAGACGCTAGACGTTAAGGATTTTGACACGCTCCACCTGTTGCGACACGCTCCGCCCACCGCTCGATATCTTGTCTGCGTCGCTAACTTGATCTGCTATGCTGCTCTCTACCGCTCTCCGCGCTCACATTATCTCTCATCTCCCTGTCTTCCTTTTGAACTTCTCCAGCATGAGCAAAAGGCTCGTATTTCCTGTGTATTTCACGATTTTTTTTCCTTTTTTCTCCACTGGCGGTCCACTTCCCCCCTACTTCACATTTGAGTAGAATACACCCGTTCAATTTTTAATCCTGAATCTTGCCTTTGAGCTCGTGTATAATGCTGTTTGAAATGTGGAGTGGTGTCTATTTTTGTGGCCACCCTTGTTTAGTGCACTCCGGATCTAGACCTGTTGCCTTCCCCGAAGTCCATAGCACAAGTGTGGTCACTGAAGTTTGTGATTTCATTGTCAATAGCAATCTACTTTCATTTTGGAAGCGCAACATAGGGTCGTGATCTTTTCATCCCTCATATACTATGTATTATAACGAATTCATCGGAATGCAAACATTTATGCCGTATACCCCTTAAAATTCAACGGGCAGATTGAGGGCGCTAGTTTTTAGGTTTTGACGGCACATTCAGGATTCACTTCACTGCAGCACCACTTGGCATCTCTACGTTCACATTTGACAGCACCAAATCATTGTAACGTTGCCTTGAGTGGAAACTGTAATAGCGTGCTCTGTCGTCTTGTCTTGATATCAAGCAAATTATCCTGCTAGAAGACAAAACCCAACACACTAAACGCCTGTTTGCCCGCAGTATTTCACGAACCAAGTCTCTTTTTATTTCAAAATCCACATAAACACACTCACTGCAACGGGCTTGAACATGCGCTTGTGGCGATGCAGAGGTATTATTTTTGCAGACAAGCAATAATCAACTTTGCCGCAAGTTTTGGGCTAGCCCTAACAAGGGAAGCCGTTCAAAAATGAAGCGTTTTTGGAGCGGGTTTTTGTATTGTAGAGGTCACCGTGGGACACAAAACGAGGTTCATTTTCGCCGAGCGGCTTTAGCAATGCCAAATAGGAGAACAACATTTGCTCATTGCTCAATTCCCCGTAACTACAAAATTTTGCATATATTCGCGTGGTGCGAAATGGTACCTGCCTAAAAAATTTACTTCATATCCACGACCAAAATGTTTGGCACTCTAGGGGTTCTTGTCAACTTTGAAAACTGGGGTGTAACTGTGGTCCATCTTGAACGGCAGATGACATGAAAACGAGCGGAGGATCAGCGCTAGGCAATAGCTGACAACAAGCTCGGAAATGGAAGCTCCTTGGAGGCACATTTTACTATAAGTCGTGGTCCTTGAGACAAAGCCAGCTAAGGGCAATGAGTCTAAACGCATCTTTTTAGGGAGAGCAGAATTTTGTACCTTCCGTTAGATTTTTGTGCCATACGAGGTTGATAGGTGGAACATTTATTTCATGGCCTAACGTTTCGACTGAATCGTCGTCTTCAGAGGCCTGAACGTGTTTCAAGCGTTAGACTTACGCTCTACACCACCAAGCGCCTCATCAACTCTAGCGGTTTCGACATCGTGTCAGAAACCCCTCGAGAAGATCAGAACAGCGCGAAAAATAAACTCACCGTCGGTTCCACCCTTTGAGCGGAGAGGTCCGCTGCCACACAGACGCATTAGTCAGTTGCAAATAAGGAATATTCTGCGAGAGATGGAGGCCCTATTTCTTCCGAAAATTTCTTTCCACCTATTTGCGATAAAAACATGCTCCTCAGAAGTTACTGATGGTCAATAGTACCGAACCGCTTGGCAATACCATGTGCCAGTAACTTGGAGACGCAAATCTGCAATGTGTGGCAGTAGGTTTGACGCTGTGGTGTAATCAGATCAGGCAACCGCGTCGTAAAGACTGTCTGCCGACAGTACGGACGGGACGCTCCAATGAAATCCCCCCCATGCGCTGCCATTAAATCGCCGTGCCGAAGTTACGGTATGAACAAACTTATTGTATTCAGTTGATGTATTTATTCAATGTCATGCATAAATGTCCTATCCGACACTCAAACATATAATCACCATCATCATTATAACAGAATTTCACATCATTCCCATTTTTTGCTTTAAGTGGACCGCTGAGTGAGTATGACGTTCGTTTCTGCTTTCCATGCGAAAGTATTGCCCTCAATTCTTACCTTGTAAGCTATTTTGTAGGGACGCCTGCTATGTTTGATGACGTTTCCTGTCCTCAAATTTTGGGAACACGTTTGGTCAGGCCCTTCCATGCCCGCTTTACAGCCCGGATATTGTGCTAAATATTGCATACATTTCTGCGTTGCAAAGCTTAATGCCGGAACTTTTGCGTTTGAATAACTTTACCTCCTTCACAATAGCGCCTTCGAACGTGTCGAGGGATTCGCATGATTCGTGACTGTGTGATAAAGGCCTCAATCATGTTTGAAGACTTGGCCTAGAAGAGGTATGAGCACTTCGTAGTGTTCTTCGAACACTCTGTTCTCTCTCGGGAATGTACTAAAAAATGATACGAGTGTTTTATGCAGCAATTTTTCATCAGGGTTCACTCCACAATAGACACAGTAGCACTCAAAAGTGTTCGCAGAAAGGATTTTCTGTGCATTATTTTTTATCGCTTGAGCAACGTCCTCCAAAAATTGATGTACTATGTTTTCTAGTGTTTCATATCCTCAAGTCTTAAAAATCAGGATATTCAAAAGAAAATTTCCGAGGTCACCATTATTTTTTCTGGCAAAAAAGCTCGAAAGAACGCGTTTCGGAACACTTTTGACCGCTGCTGTACCTCCAAATTCCTTCTCGAACAGACTCGCCTTCTCGAATGGACTGCAAAAATGATTACTGGCAGATTGCCAAGCGTTTAGCTACGTGATAAATTTTACATATGCAATTGCATTTCAGAAATGCTTTCGCAACTTGCCTCCGTGTTAGTATGAACTTCCCTAAACCCGGCGGTTCTTCCGCAATAAACATACCTGGAAACGAATATAAATATTAGGTTGTCCCATAATTAGTGAATCACTTTACATTTATTGTTATTAAAAATCCAAGAAAAATGGTGAAGGCGTGAAACATGTTTTGCGAAGTAGCATCCACATTATCCTACCTGAGCGATTACTCGGCCCATGTACATGCTGCCTTCCGTGGCTGATACTTCAATTTTTCTGGAACCTATTTTTGAGCTCCCTTCTTAATCACTTCTGATTAGGATCTTTCAAACGCCCAACAACATAGAGAATCAACCAGCGGATAGGCGAGGGCACGCTCCCTCAATCCACGGTCTGCTTGTAGTTCACTCTATCGAGAGGTTGGCTTTTTGAGTTGAAGATGACCCACACTCCAACTACCCCTCAAGTGGCAATCTCACTGCTGTACCCAGCGCCACTGAGGGTGGATCTGGACAAACTTGTCGCCATTTGCTAGAGCATGTCCGGCTTGTTAAATGATGGAATGTAGACATCTACGTAGAGTTGTAAAGATTTTAAAATATTTAGTTTGTATCTTGTATGCTCTGAGCCCGAAACAGCTCCACACACGATCTGACATCATCATGTTCCTTCTGATCTCTCTTAGTTCCTTACAGTGATCATCCGGCATATGCATCAGGGTTCTGGACTGGGTGGAAGTGTACTAGCAAATCTCAACAAGCAGCAGCTTAGCATGAAGGGTTCGGGAGTTCTGACAGCAAAAGCCGAACCCCCTTTGAGTCCGACCCTTCCGAGATATTGTATGAGCACGAGAGTGACCTTACGCTGGGAACCGCCGCCCAG